GCTTTCTTTTAGCATAAATGTCTGGCAGTGGTTGGCTGAATTTTGGATGGATGCTGGCTTGTCGGCTCAACTTCTCCTCCTTCATTTCCATCGTTTTATCCACCTTTTCCACCCTCATGGCTTTCCTTTCTTTCATAACAAATGGACTAACGCGTTGCTTTTACGAGCCATCCTCTCGTCTATATTGTTAATCGCATAGTCCATCGCGATGTGCGATCGCTAGAGTATGCGGAATTTTGCCAATGTTTATGATATTGGGATTCCATTGGATTCTTAACAAGCTCACCGTAGTAACTTCTGTCCTGTATTTTTGTGAGAGAAAAAAACACTGAACCTTGTATACCGTACTCACCCATTATAAGAATTCTTGTTCACTGTAAAAACTTTGTTGTAGGCAATTGTATTTCCTTATCTTTGTCTTGCTATTTTTTTCTTTTCTTCTTCTTCTTCTTCTTTTCTTTTTTTTTTTTTTTACATTAAACTAAGAATTATTATCATACACATTTCATAGTTTGTATTCATTGTTATTAGCTGTTTAAGTAAACATGTCTGTATGAAATTATTCACTACTTTGTCAGGTTTGAATTACTACTCTGATGAAGCATAACCTGTTGATATCATTAAAAAAAGACAAATTAAATTTAAGGATGCAAAATAAATAATTAAGTTTTTGTCGAAAGATACAGAATTCTATAAAAATTGATACATTTCTGAGCAATGGGTTGAAAAATATTTTAATTTTCAATCTGATAGACGTTTTACTACTTTTAAAATTCGTTTACCATAGAATGTTCATGTAAGCTTCGTTTATTTTGCTATAAACTATAAATTATGTCTTTTCTCTCTATCCATAAAACAATGAATTTGTACTTGATAATAATAAAGGCTATCTTATACATAAGAAGTCATAAAGTTAAAATAACATAAACTTAAGCTTTGATTGTATTCATAATTTTCTCCTTGTCTATAATTTGATATTTATCATTTATACAATCATTATTATATATTTACAAAACATTCTTTTTCTTTCTTCAAAAATTGTTAACTTAATTAATATATCTTTAATGAAAGATCAATCATATTTCATCTAACTTATTGATAAATTGGATACTTTGAAAAAAAAAAAAAAGAATTGTTAATTTCTTTAAATTAATCTTCTTTCTACTTCACATAAAGATATTTTATATTAATAATATTAGTAGTGACAAAATAGATATTTAAATTATAAATTTATTATAAAGATAATAACGTGTTAACCGACACTTAATTTAATAAAATTTTACAGACTATAAGTAAGGAGAATAAATGTCAGTATTTATAAAAGCAGACATACAAAACATGATATAAAAGACGTACTGTTAAATAAAAAAAGTTATTCTATAATAACAATGAGTTTAAACATTTATTAACGAATGTTTTTATTTTTATTTTTTTGTTGTCGTTAACGTTTTATTTTAAAAATAAAGGGGCTATGGATATTATTAATCTATTGTCAAAAAAATATTAAACAAAAAAAAATTGAAAATTATTATCCAATTAAATTGGATTCTTGTAATTATATTATTATTACACAAAGAATGTTATTATAATTCAAATATTAATTTTGGTCACTGACATTCTTATATTTATCTTTTGTTTACTCTACTTCGTCAAATTCATGATATCAAGTGATGTCCAGTAACTATAAGTGTAATAATAAAATTAATGTTTTAGTCAATTAATTTTATTTGTTAACCTTTAGTGGCTTAATAGTTTATCTTAATAAAGTTATCGTTTAAAATAGCATGACTATTTAATTTGTAGGCTCTATTATTAATTACTCTGTTCATAATAATTATGCACACTCGGAATGCTATTTAAATTGTATATATATATATATGAACAAAGCACGCACACACACAAAATTTGCTACCTAATGAAATTATATTAGCATTATTGTATCAATTGAAAATTAGGTCACAATAGAATCAATCATAAGCTTTCTTACTAATGAATAACATAGTTTTACTTATTATAATTTTGTTTATAGTTTCAATTCCATGCGTATGATTTACAAAATTTATAATAAAAAACAGAATTTCAATTTCTAAAGTATTGTTATTTATTAATTGGCAATAAATACTTATTTATTTACTAATATATTTACTTTTATTCTACTTTGTTATTTGCTAATATTATAAACATTTATATGCTCAATTATTGTGAAAGATTTATTCAATAGCAAATTTACTTCATTTTCAAAATTAATTTTAAATACCTAAATTATAGATGAAATGTTCACATTATAATACGCAAACAGATATTTTTATAAAAACTTGAATTTTATTAAAAAAAATTACCAAAAACTTTGAATTATTTTTATATTAGAATACCCTAATTATTAGAGTATTATTTTACTTTAAAATTATTCTACTTTATCTTATTTAATAAAATAAATATTAAGTATAATATTTTCAGAAAAAAAAACTATACTAAAAACAAGTATCATTTATTTTATGTATGGATATAAAGAGACGACAATTGATATAGTATTGAGTATGTGCGATTTCTGTTTAATATAAATTAATATGCTGCGAATAGAATTAAAATTTTAATAAATAGCAGTGATCTGCTGAATTCATTGCAAAATATAGAATTATTTGATTTTGATTTTTTTACAATATATAATTTTGCGTTAAAACATTTCTATTTACTAAATATGAAAGGAAATATTAGAACAATCCTTTTATTATAAATAGCCTAGTTATTGTATTTGTGAAATTTTATTGTTTTAGGTTGATGGATTTCTAATTTTGTATACTTAGAATTTTTGTGAATTGTAAAATTTCTTACCAATATGACTGAATACAAACTTGTTGTGGTTGGGGCTGGTGGCGTTGGAAAATCAGCACTTACTATTCAACTGATTCAAAATCACTTTGTAGACGAATACGATCCAACAATTGAAGATTCTTATAGAAAACAGGTATTGATATTAGTAATTTAAAAATCTGCTATGAATTACATCTGCATATAAGTGCAAAATTATGATATGTCAATCAATGTTAAAAATTATATTATATATCCGCAGGTCGTTATAGATGGAGAAACATGTTTATTAGATATTTTAGATACGGCAGGTCAAGAGGAATATAGTGCAATGAGGGATCAATATATGAGGACGGGAGAAGGATTTTTATTAGTATTTGCTGTTAATTCAGCTAAAAGTTTTGAGGTAAATGAATATGAATAATAAATAAACTCGTGTGTAGATTTTCTTTGATAATTAATGTATATATAAAATAATATAATCTGCATTTGGAAATATTTTTTTACAATTTCATCTATATTAGTGTAATTTTTTGCCATACCAGTCAAGACTTTTACTCTAATTTTTAAAAAAAAAAGCCGAACAAAACTAAAAATTACTTATTTTTCTTATAGGATATTGGAACATATCGCGAACAAATAAAGAGGGTAAAGGATGCGGAGGAAGTGCCAATGGTATTGGTTGGCAACAAGTGTGACCTCCAGCAATCGTGGGCTGTAAATATGACACAAGCGAGGGAAGTTGCCCGTCAATATGGAGTGCCGTTTGTTGAGACATCGGCTAAGACAAGAATGGGAGTAGACGATGCATTTTACACTTTGGTGAGTATTTCTAAATTATAGATTTGGATTAAAAATAAATTTATCCATGATTCTTACAACTTTCGGACTACAAAATTTGTCGTATGAAAAGAATTACATGTGTTCTTCTTAAATATATATTACGAATTAAATAAACTAAAAAAAACTTATAATTAATTTACAAAAAACAATTATTTCACGGTATAGATATATTGTACGGGTCATATTTTTTCAATCATTTTACGTCAAAATTGATTTTAGCTTGCTTACACAAAAGAAATATAATTTAAAAGATACGTTTAGTTATTTATATTGTATGAAATGTTACTATTATAGAAAATAAAATTTAGTATATTGCATATTCACTTGTTAATTTTAAATTAAAGAAAAAAATGAAACTAACCTATAAAATTTGCATGATTACGAAGTTTACGTAAAAATGAACTTTCTTTATCGAAAAATGATTTATTTTAAAAGTTAATGTAGTATTAAAAAATCATATTTCAATAATACAATTTACTTTCATTGAATTTTAATAAATCCAATGTTAATGTAATTTATGAAATAACAATTTTTTCATATTAAACATAAATAGATTTTTCATTAATTTTGAATAATTATGCATTTAATACGTATGATTAATTATTTTTATAACTTTTTAAAAATCTGAAATATTAGATAAAATATCTTGTATAATATAACAGTTATAATTGCAGTAAAGTATGATATCACAAAATTTAATTATTTTAAAGTATGACATCACAATGACACTATGAAACGATGTGGCTTCCGCATGCTTTAATCATCATGTAAAAAAAGATGCAATTAAACTGTCACACTATTTTAATCTAATGAATCAAAAGAATTTCATATTAATTCTTCAATTTGTTTAATTATAATATCGAAATAATTTTTCAGATAAAGTGCTGCTTACTTATATAAAAAATAATGAATTAAGGATTTTCTAATCATGTAAAAATATTTTAAATTTAAAGAACAAATTAATATATCTTATTCTGCTTTGATTAATATTATGCTGTATTTAATTGAAATTATCTATAAAGCAATACGTTTCAAATGCTTACAATTAGTTAATCTTATTATAGTTTCAAAGAAAATGTTATAATAAAGAAATTTTTTTTATATTATAGGTAAGAGAAATACGAAAAGATAAGGAGCAAAGAGGTAAAGAAAAGAGAAAACGCATGAAGGCTGGTAATTCAAGTCGCAGGAAACACCGGTGCTGTATTCTTTAAAATAATTAATAATTTTGTCATTCAAGAGCTAAAATGTAAGAAGCTTTAGTATGTTTATCTCGTATTCATCGAGTAATTAATATTGCACTATTCTCAATTAAGTCATAAAAAGTGGGAGAAGTGCAAAAATTATACACAATTCTCTTTATCCAACACTGAAGAAAGTTTATCAATCTACTTTAGTCGGTACTATCCAACTCTTGATTCGATACATTTATATAAAAACAGACTCTTAAATACTTACGATTTTTAATATGCTTCTTTTGTCGGAAAACTTTAACTTAGGAGTGCATTACAATACAGTGTGACGTTATTTTTTACGTATTTAATACTTAAGTGTTTTTGAGTATTGATATATAAGTATAGATAATTAATTGTATTAATTTTACAATGGGAACTTTGTTGTGGCAGTGAAACGACAAAGTTAATAAATAACAAATAGCCAAATGTTCAAAACGCCAATATATTTCCGCGTTGATTATATTTGAAAGGCAATAAATTTGTTACTGTGATTATCTGGCCTATAACTTCAAAAATTAGATTGAAACAGAAATTTGTATGCAAATTATATAAAAATTATGTACGAATAATGCATAAATCATACACAGTACTTGCGAATTATTTTATACAGCGTTTTCACAATTGCTATTGAATGTATATTATAATTTTTTTGTTACTTTTATAAAACAATGAAAAAAGAAAAAAATGAAACAAAAACATTATGTAGTAAAAACGCTTTTGTATTCAGTATACTATGGCACTTTTTTTGTATTATATATTAATTCTATATATAATTTTATATATGTGTATAATTTTCTGTTTATAAAAAACTTTTTCGAGCTCCTTTTCGTTATAAGAATTTTAAAAATTTCGTTCAAAATGTATAAAATAATGAGATTAGAACATTTATTCTATACCTACAGTAACAAAAGATCTGTAGAAAAAATTTTTCTCCGATATCATATATCTTTTTATTGAAACTTTTTAAATACATAAATATTTCTACATCAACTATACAATTATATAATTCACGAAAACGAAGAAGCTACAGACAGTTAGTGCTAGCGAAATTAGCAATAAAATAAAAAGAACTTGTAAAGTTTAGCTTATATATATATATATATATATATATATATATGAAAAAATAACAAACGTAACAATTTTTATTCTGTGTGATATAAACGATTTTTTTATTATTTTAATAACGCGTTAAGACAGAACCTTATTCAACAAAACTCCCATTTAGATCAATTCGTCCTTATAGTCTGTTTTTTTTTTTTTTTTTTTTTTTTTTTTTTTTTTCATCTTTACCGAAATTTGCAAAATATCGTTATTACAAACTTAATTTTAGGATATTCGCTAACCCTCTTATCTTTGTATTAGCGATTATATTTTTTATATAAACTTTTGTATAATGATTCTACGTAGGTATTGTATTATCTCATTTTGAATTCTCGATAGAAATGAAAATTAAATCTTTGTTCTTCCATCGCCTTATTTTTGAGGAACATAATATTGCCATTATATACAATAGCAAACGTGCAAATATATAAACTGACTTCGCATTGTTGCCTCGATTTTTATCATTATCATCATTATTATTATTATTATTATTATTATTATTATTATTATTATTACTATTACTATTACTATTACTACTACTACTACTACTACTACTACTACTATTACTATTATTATGATTATTCTTTTTATTAAAACGATAGTCGTTAGAAAATGAATTGAAACAGTACTCCGATATTTCTAGGATTCTGTCTCCGATACAGATTTGACACTATAAATTCATACAAATTTTCCTCAATCCTAAGATGCAGAATTTTTTTATAGTTTTGAATAACTCGCAACCGAATTTGCTCACAACCAAGTACGCTCATTCATTTTCCCTTTAAATCTATAATTTTACAGCTTATAAAATGAAAGCCGAGTTAAACGTATCTAATAGGTTTGTTGTTTAAAAATAATTTACTTTTATAAATCGACAAAGCAATAAAAATCTGTACCATTAAAGATATAAAATCATTAGAAGAAATATCGGAGTCCTGCTTTAAAGGCGCGAGCATAATTCACGAGAGTGGCGCTGACTCAGTGGAATTCCTTCATCCATGATACATGTTCGTGATTCTCTTCTGTGTGCGGGCGTGTGTGTGTGCGCATGTAGTTGCAGCGCCATCGCCGATCTATCAGATCATGCCTATTTTTAAGTTCGCACAAATGTGCTAACATACACTAACATTATGGTCGTTGTTAATTGCAACAAACAAATGTTAGATCGTTTCGTCTTGAGGTGATGAAGCTTTACCGATTTCTTGGAAGCTATCGATTTCTCGATGACATATCCATATAATAATTATAGCGTAAAATAGTTTCTTACTTTTGTAGGATGATAGCTCAGTGTTTGGGTTGTTTGGATTTCTTATAGCTCAAAGTACAAACTGAAAGAGTAACGAGTAAAATTTACTTAAAAGTCTGTGTTAGATGTTATTCGACTCCATAGAGCAACCAATTTTTTTTATATTGAAAATAAAATTTATATAATAGCTAATTGTAATAGTGTTTTTATCTGAGATTTACAATTATATTATCTTAAACTTTTTTTTTTTTTCAATTTAATAAATCTGTTCAAACCTAAATAGTTTTTCTTTGAATTGTATTGCTCGACTTAAAAAAAAAAACTCTTTATCTATATAAAAATTATTGGTTTTTTTTTTTTTTTTTTTTTTTTTTTTTTTTTTTATACTAAAAGACATTTGTAGTAAATAAGTAATTTTCATTAGATAATTGAAAGTTCTTTGAAGTACATTTGAGCATGACAATTTCATTATATTTCTTTAAACTATTCATATAGAACTAATCATGGAGATTCATTTGCTGCAGAATAAATCAAAGATAAAAAATAATTTTACAACGATATATATATATATATATATATATATATATATAAAACATGACAAAATTACAATATACTTTATACAATCAAAAATATAAAAAATTGTATTTATAATAATTATGAAATTGTAATGCAATAATTTTTAATACCTTTGAGAATTGATCAGTCCAATTACTTAATATTATTCAGATATTTACAATTGAATTACATATATAAAATGAGACTATAATAATTACTTCTTTACAGCATTTCGACAAAATAATTAAACAAATATCACCATATTAATATTAATGTCATAGTGTAGACCAAATTTATATCTCCAAAATTTTTATATAAATAACGAAATTATTTTATATAAATGTGATCGTAATATACTCGTAAAAAACTATTTTCTTAATACTTCGTATCAACCAAGTATAAATCTTAACGAATAAAATAATTTTAGATTAATAAAAATCTATACTTAAATACAAAAGAACTATTTTAAGAAAAGTGAAAAAAAAATTTTTGATTAATCGTGCAATTGCGAATGGCATGATAGTTATTAAGCCACAGTTACATTATTAATGCAATAGTTGATATTCCTGATGTTTATATTTGTATGATAATAATTCGATTTACTTTGAACGAAAATCGGTAAAACTTTACTCAGTGTAAATGCATTGACACAATATGAAAATTAATTTAGGTAAATACACAAATTCATTATGATTACTTTGATAATAATTCTGTATATAGATACAGTGCTAGGGTTGCGTTTTTTCTGCCTTTTTATGAAAAAAAAAAAAAAAAAAAAAAAAAAAAAAAAAAAGAGAACAAACAAGAGAGAAAAAAAAAAGAAAAAAAACGAATGTTATACATAAATAATAATGAATTTTTCGATTCTTACTTTAATCTTTCATATTCGAATGAATAATGAAGTTCTTAATCATAAGTACTGTATAACACATATTGCATATAAATAAATATGACGAGAAATAAATTTTATTAAAAATACATTTCGTTCTTTTGTTTTACTTATTTAAGAATTTCATAACTGCCGTTACTTCCTATCATTTTCTTTCCTTAATTTGCTCCATCTTATTAACTTTTGTACTTAATCATCTAATTTAATTGATCTATCAATGTTAAATAGAAATGTAGGGCATTTAATTTAATCAATATATCTTAAAGCGTTGAAATTTCTAAATCGTAATTTTTTTTACGCTTTACAGCTTATGTATAATACACGTTTTATTTTATGCATTATTTATTTCAATACGATGAAATGATATTTAATAATTCAATTTATAAATGTTAATATATCTATTTTATGCTGTAAACAGTCAATTATTAGTTAAATAAAATGTTTCTTGAAACGAATCGAAGAAAAAAAAAAATCTGTTTATTCTCCTATACAATAATACTTAATATTATAAATTGTAAATACATTATTGGGCTTCTAAAAATTTTTAGTCTTCAACAATTATTACTAAGATATTACAATTCTTTTTTTTTTTTTTTTTTTTTTTTTTTTTTTTTTTTATTTCGACAATACAAGACAACATTTTTTGCTTATTTATGAAAATAATTAATATCAGATAATATTCGAGCAAGATATCTTCATTTGAATATTTGAATAAATATACAAACGCTGTAGTCATACTTGTCATACCATTCCTGAAAGCAAATAATTTATTTAACGATACTAGACATTAAAAAAATTATTATAAATACATTTCACATTTTTTGCGAAGAATTAAATTGGAAATCGTTAATACAAGTGAACGTTAAATTCTTCTTAATTTCTTTAAATACCTACGAAGCAATGTATAGTAGTGGTCGTGTGCCTAACATTTCAAAAAATAATGACTGAATTTTTGGAGAGAATGATAAATGTAAAATGTTAATATCTTCAGTATTTATGAGTTTTAAAATTTTGTCAATTTAGTTGCTGTACAATATTTTTCTATAATATGACGTTATGCTGTATATTTATTTCATATGAATATTTTTCAATATTTTTCAATGCTGCTCATTTTCATTCATTCTAGTCGCATATTGTCCAATGCTTTTCAATACTTTATTATATTCAACATTATGCCTTAATTATGAAGAAATAAAAATAAATAAAAGTATATAGTAATCCGCACGCAAACGATGATAAATTGATAATTTCATTAAAAAATGTTAAACAAAATCAATATATTTTTTAAATGCAACAAAATACTTCGTACAATGTGAAAATGTATAAATTCAAAACAAAATTTACTCCATTTCACAGGAAATTAACTATAATTTGGAACTCTCGGTATCTTCGTTATAAAATGGAATGGTCGAATCACTATTTATCATAATCTGTAATCATAATAAATATAAGTTTCTTACTTAAATTAACTTTCTCAAGCTTTCTTACATTAACATTCTCAAGGTAAATGCCCCACCTGTTTTGAAAGTTTATTAAAATGCTGCGAGGCTATGTTGTTACCAGATTGATGTACCATCCTCTTGAAATAGCCATTGTTCCGCTGTAATAATACATAAGGCTCGTCGAATTCAATGGCCACGCCATCCTGCATTACGAGGATTTTATCACTATCCATTATAGTATTTAATCGATGAGCTATCATTAATACAGTGCAGTCCTTAAATGAATTTCTAATAGCCTTTTGAATGAGGTCATCGGTCACGGGATCGACATTAGCCGTTGCTTCGTCCAGAACAACAATTTTATTTTTTTTCATGATTACTCGAGCCAAGCAAAGAAGTTGCCGTTGCCCGAGACTAAGATTACATCCGCCCCGCTCGATATTTTGATCCAATGATTTAAATACTTTATTCAATTCAACCTCTTCTAAAGCCGACCACAGTGATACGTCGTCGAATTCGTGCAATGGATCAAGATTATCCCTGAGCGAAGCCGTAAATAACATCGGCTCCTGAGAGATTATTGAGATTTTACTGCGTAAATTAAGGAGGCTGACGTTTTTCGTATCAATGTTATCGATTATTAACGAGCCATCGGTGTCCACTAATCGGAATAGCGCTGATATCAATGATGTTTTCCCCGAACCGGTGCGTCCAATTATACCGACCTATAAAATAATCGCTAACACTAGAACATCGAATGATTTTTAAGAAATACGAGATCCATTTACCTTCATCCGCGAGTTAATTGTGAAATCGAGATTCTTCAAAACTGGTTGATCTTCACTCGAGTAGCGAAGATACAAATTTTGAAATTTAACCTCACCATACTGCGGCCATGACTTCTCTGGCAGCCGATCGGATTCAATCTCAAATGGACCCTCCTGATTCAATTCGGTGAATTGAAACATCCGCTCGATGCTAGTCATCTGAGCCATCACCTCCGCAATTTGCTTCATTGTAAACTGAAGCATACCGCAGATGGCGAGTACTTGAGTAAGTACGAGGCCTATGTGTCCAGCAAAGATGTTATCGTTATTCAGGAAGATGAAGCTGTAGGTGACAAAGGCCAAAAAACCAATCGAGACAAAATCCAGCCAGAAGCCAAAAGCAGCGGCGGCAGCCAAAATGAGACTGTGAGCGGCGGTGTGATCGTTTTGTCGATTGTCGAATTCTTTGCGAATAATTTGTTCGGCTCGACAGGAGCGTATCGTCACCAACCCAAGTAAAGATGAATTGGCCAGCGAGAAAACTGGACTTTTGGCTATAAAGAGAAATTATGATATCCACTCGTGTTGTTTGCCAAAGATGGGATGATTTATGGATGAGACAAGAAATGTGCGTTATTGTTTAGTTGATGATAATAACGATACGTGGCCTTTATCGTTGCCAAGATAATGTAGATTTTAAATGAAAAGTCCTTGGTTTTATTGATATTAGAGCGTCTTTAAAGCGTCACGAGACCCTGTATTATTGACATTCTTATTAACAAAACAAAAACAAAACAAAACAAAAAAACTTCAAATTGGATAATAATTTTACGTAAATTTTAATAAAATTTTGTTTTATTAATTGCTTATTAATTGTTACTGTTGCTTTTATTAATTTGTTAATCGCAACACGAGAGTTCAATTATGCCAATAGCAATTTAATTTAATTGATTTTGAGAATTAGACAAATTGGATCTTTGTCATTGAAGTTACGGCGGAGCATTTAAAAAAAAAAAAAAAAAAAAAAATGCAATTCATACGAATCTACCTGTTAAATATGAAAATTATGACAATTTCTTACCATTACCCTCAAGTCGCTTAATATTCTGCACAGTAGAGATATAAATGTTGTTGATTTTTAAAAATATATATATCATAATTAACAGCGCAAAAATTGTCCACCAATTAATTATAAGCATTTGTATAACCACTCCGATCGTAAAAACAATTCTGTCCATTGCAATGAGCATAGCATTTGGTAGTGACTCGTCTACAGTCCCAGTATCCTTTGAAAAGCGATTCAATATTCGTCCTGTCAACATGCAATATTTCCTCTTCAAACTCATTAAATATAATTATTTATACTTGAACAATTTACCGGAAGGATTGATATCGAAAAATTGCATCGGCGCCCTAATTAAACGACTGAACATTGCGTTGTGTATATTTTCGCTCGAGTTCAAAAGAGTTCTATAAAATAAAATATTTCGAATAATTGAAAGAACAATAATGCCCAAAATTAAGCTTCCATATATGATGAGGAGTATCTTGTTGTCTAAACAAATGTCCCATATTCCAGTCGATGTGACATTTGTACCATTCAATGGTAAGTTTAAGCACTTTTCCTCTTGATTGGTCCTAAAAGGTATTCACGCACTATTAGCGTTTAAGAATAAACTCTACCGTTAGCTTTGAGAATGTGCATTTAAAAATGGACAGAAAAGGGGATAATAAGATATTGGAAGGGACGATAACTGAAAGGACAAAGGACAAGAGCACTTACCAAAATGCCAACCAGTAATCGAAAGCACTGACAATAAGTTGGGTCAAAATAAATAACGACATTAGGATGGAAAATTTAAAATACGAAGTACCGGTTAGGAAATATTTAAAGAACAATGATTTCGTAATTCTTCCCTTGGCCAAAAGTTCCTCGGTTTTTTTTGGCGCTTTCTCTTGCCCTTTGGTCGTAAAGACAGAAATGTGACGCGATCGGGCATCGTCGTTGATGCAACTTATTTCTTGCATCAATTTATCCGACTCGCCGTTCAGTGACAATAATTGACGGTAGCGATTATTTTCATAGAATTTCTGGAACGCTCCTTGGAACTCCACTTGTCCCTGAAATATTTCAATGCCCGTATTAATAATGCACACGCAACCACGCTCCAACACCCTTAACGTTACTTTCACTTCTTACGTTATTCAATAAGATAATTGCATCGGCTTGTTTCAAATACTGTATTTGATGTGTTACGAGAATTCTCGTTTTATCCTTCAAATATCCATTGATACAATCCTCGAATAAACTTTTACCAACATGATTGTCCACTGCGGATAGAGGATCGTCTAATAAATATATATCAGCATCTCTGTAAACTGACCTAAGCAAATGTTTGATGTTTTAACAGCAGTCGGTACATTGCTCGTGTTTGCTTATTTGCCGATTCACTTTAATATCCGTCTCGGGCATTCTAATCGCTCGAATGCGAATCGACATTTCGACTTCGCACAATGCTGAACGAGAGAGTTCCCGTATTTATATTGGGGTTGTGTGTGTGCGTGTGCGTGCGTGCGTGTGCGTGCGTGCGTGTGCGTGCGTGCGTGT